GATCACGAATTTAGCCATTTTCGTCTTTTGCTTTTCTTCCCTTTGCGGACCAAGCCCCTGTACTTGAACAGCAAGAGGAGGTGGTTCCTCATTCGTTTCCCGGGAGCGTCCTTTTCTCAGTCAGGCTGGCACCATGACCCGGCGAACTTCAGTGAGCGACAAAAAGTTCTTACCGGAGCTGCAACTAGAACTACGCACTAGAACCACGTCCCAGCGAAGCTTTTTAGTGCGAAGAAGCCCCGCCTCGCGCCGTGAGGCAGAGGCACCTCGCCCAACGAGGTCACGGCTCTCCCCTCTGCCCCGCCCCTCTTACCGGGCACCCGTGTGAACTGAGCAGGCGCGAGAGGTGACCGAAGGTGGCCTTGGAAGCAGCGACGTCCCTAAGCAGCGCCCTCTGGCGGCTCCTCGTGAAAGTTTCCCGGAAATCCTTTTTAGGAGTCCTCACACCCCAGTAATCTTAGAAAAATGATTAAAAGAATTTCCCCATTAGCCCCAGACCTGTACCCTTCCTGCTTTCTACGTGGCGCATCGGTGAAGCAAATTTTGGAGCTGTCTGAGGCCAAACTAGCATCATGATAATGGTGACGTCGTTTGCCTTTTTTGATGTCGCTGGAATTTTCCGTTGCGTGATGACGTCATGTCTCTGATGACTAAAGGACTGTGTGTTTGTATATTGCGTTTTCTGGAATTTTCTAAGGTAAGCTGTTTCTTCAGTAGTTGTTGTTGTTGTTGTTGTTATGTGCCGTCGAGTCGGCCCCGACTCATAGCGACCCCTCCTTGGTTCAGTAGTTAGTAAAGTTTTTTTTTTTTTCCCTTACGTTTCACACACACACACACACACGCGCATACACACACACACACACTTATTCTTTCTTAAATCTCTGACTTGACTGGTGGAAACTGGGAATACTTTCCTTCTGTCTGAGGTACATTCTTCATAATTTCCTTTAATGAAGGTGTGCTTTTGTCAAACTTTCTCAGTTTTGCTAAATATATTTTTAATTTATCTTAAATTCCTTGAAGGATTTTTTTTTCACTGCTTATAGAATTTGAGGTTGGAAGTTATTTTCTTTTATATATTGATTTGACTTATCTTTTGGCTTCCAATGCTGTAAAAAAGTAAACTGTTGCTCCTTTGTATCTTTTATTTGTGTTTAGTATTCTTCAGTTTCTCTCTGATATTTCTTGGTGTAGATTTTAAAAATACTCATTCTTCTTTGGATTTATTAAATTTCTTGTCTCTCCTAACTAATGTCTTAATCAGTTTTGGAAAATTATTAGCCATCTTTGTATCATTTCTGCCTCATTTTGTCTCTCGTCTATCTGTAACTGTAGTTACATGTAATATCGGCTTGCTTCACCTTCTGTGTGGCTTTAATTTTTTAAAACTTTACTTTGAAATAATTGGGAGCTCTGGTGGTGTAGTGAGTAAGGCATTTGACTGCTAACCAGAAGGCTGGCGTTTCAAACCCACTAGCCACTCCTTGGAAGAAAGACTGGGCAATCTATTTCCGTAGAGATACCACCTCAGAAGCCCTAGGAGGGGTTGCTGTGAGTCAGGTTTGACTCCACAATAGTGACTTTGGTTTTTATTATTATTTAAAAATAGTTATAAATTCACAGGATGTATGATGTATCATTGTTCTGATGACTAAAGGAATGTGTGCTTATGTTTTCTTTCTTATGTTATCTAATGTTTTCTAGAATTTTCGAAGCCCTTTTTTGAAAAAATATTTTATTGAGTTTTTGGTGCAAATTTACACAGCAAGTTAAGTTCCCATTTGACAAATTTCTACACAAATTGTTCAGTGACATTAGTTTCATTTATCACAATCTGTCAACATTCTCTTCATGTACAGTTTGTTCCCTCTCCAGCACTCTATCTTCTCATCTTTGCTTTTGAGTAATTGTTGACTTTTTGGTCTCGTGCTGATGGGTTGTTATTATTATTGTGATTTGGGTGAAAGTTTACAGAGCAAATTCATTTTCCATACAGCATTTCAGACACATTTTGTTTCATGACATTGACTGCAGTTTCCCACACTGTAACAGCTCTCTTCCCACTTCCATACTGATGATTTTTAAATAGGGCACTGATTTTATGGGTAATACTAAGGTAAGTTCTTTAGGTCTCAATAATTTTTAAATGTCCTGAAACCAAAAATGATAACAGCTAAACTAGAGCACAACCATTCCTGGGTTGTACTGACAGGAAGAAGTACTCAAACATCTGCAGAATGAGTTTTTCTTTTATAACCACCTTTCCAGACAGACCCTGCTGAGGGTGGTACTCCTACAGCCCTACTTGGGTTTAGGGATGAGTCAAAAGATGATATTTACAATGAGAGAAAGCATAAAGGGGCCTGCAGCATCCTCAGTCTGTAAAATGAAGAGTTGGACTATCACCAGTGACCACTTCTAACATTCAACAGAAGTCCCTGGGTGGTACAAATGGTTAACAAACTCAGCTGCTTACAGAAAGGTTGGAGATTCCAGCCCATCCAGAGGTGCTTTGGAAGAAAGGCCTGGCAGTCTACTTCCAAAAAATCAGCCATTGAAAACCCTATGGAGCACAGTTTTACTCTGACACACATGGGGTCATCATGAGTCAGAATCTACTCAAAGATCCCTGGTTTGACATTCAACAAGTGATTCCTTGCCTTTGTTAACAATAAACTCTATGCAAAAGAAGCAAAGTAGGTTCTTGGTTCTCCTTCCCACCTTCCTCAGATTGCGTACATAATGAGTCATTGTAAGAACTGAAGAAATGTCTTTCTCAAAAAAAACTTTTTAAATAGGATTGCCTAAGCTATTGTGGGTAGTGTCTTTCCTGACACCATGGGCTATGCCTCATGAATGATTGTTCATAGGATTTTCCCTCCTCTGCTTTCTAAAATGAGAGAGGATTTAGGAGAGCTTGTTACAGATTTACTGATAACTGTACATTAGTCCTCCATGACTAAACACTAATGATAGCTGCCTATTTAAAGCAAAAACAAAGCCATTTCCTATTTGGGTGTTCAGTTTTTTAGAATAGTGTTTGTTTTATTAAAATTAGAATTTTTCTATTCTGTTTTCCCAGTTTAAGTTTCATGCTCTCATGCTTCTGTTTGCCCTTATTGACAAGAAGAGCCCATTCTGAAATTGCTGTCAAGTCCGATTCTACTCATGGTGACCCCATGTGTTACAGACCCCATTGTGTTTTCTTGGGTGTAATCTTTGCAGAAGCAGATCACCAGGCCTTTCTTCTGTAGTGCCTCTGGGTGGGTTTGAACTGCCAACCTTTAGGTAAGTAGTTGAGTGCAAACCATTTGCATCACCCAGGAACCTCTTCTGAAAAAAGCCCCCTTGATATTGTGTTTGTGTATGTGTAGAAGCTTAGAACCCTAAAAAAACTGAATTTTCTTCATGGCAGTAAATCAGGTTATGCTTCTGAAATTTTAGATGCATCTTCCTTCTCTGACAGGGTTCTGCCTAACGCTGGTTTCGACTTTTGCAGGTTTTACTGTATTTATTAAGCACTTAGCAACCTTTTGCTGGTAAGGTACTTGGGGTACAGAAGATGGAAGTTTTGAAACCAGTCCTCATGGTTTACTTGTAGAGATATGTCTGCAATTTACTACAACCGAATTTAGTCTTTGTGAGAAAGAGAATTCCTGTAACTGAGGAGGACTGAGAAGAGGGGGAGTGGGACAGAGGAAGGGAAAACATCAAGGTGCTTTGCATTCAGTGTCTCTTTTAATCTTCACAACTGTCTTGTAAAGTAGTAGTGTTACCTCCATTTTTACAGCTGAGAAATCTGGGACCCAGAGGGGTTAAGAAATTTTCATTTAGAGCTAAGAAAGAAGTTTATTTTGGGGCCAAAGTGATGCTGTGTATCCTGCCCCATTAAAATTATAGTAGGTGTCTATTTTTTGCCTGTTTATAAAATGATGTTCTTCTTGTTGTTTGCTGTCGGGTTGATTCTGACCCATAGCAACCACATGTGACAGAGTAGAACTGCTCCATAGAGTTTTTTGGGCTGTCATCTTTACGGAAGCAGACCACCAAATCTTTCTCCCATGGAGCTGCTTAACCATTGTACCACCATGGCTCCTTCGTAAAGTATTACACATGGATTAAGAAAATTTGAGAAAAGCAGAAGTACAAAAAGATAACACAAATAATCTGTATTAACAGGTTGATCTCCTTTTACTCTTTTTTTAATGCATATATACACATAGGACTGATTCTCAATTGTTTATACAGTGTGGTAGATTAGAAATAACCACAAATTCGAGAGTTCCGGCAAGATGGCGCACAAGGCAGAAAGACTGCACAGACCCTCTTCAACAAAGAAAAGGGAAACCAATTAACACAGACACAGAAGATAATCCTGGACCCCTGAGCCTTGAAGGGAGACATACGGAGCTGTGGTCTGGCAGCGATCCTGATGGCACAGACAGCTTGGAGATTCACGAGTGCTGGTAGGACTTAAGGATTGACCTAAAAATCAGCCCTGCTAGCCAGTGACTGCACTGAGGACTGCTCCGGTGGCTGGGGAATAAACGGAGAAGGTGAAGAGAAAGGCGGGCTGAGCTGTGGACTTTTGCTGGTCCGGAGGGTGCCACCATTTTGAAGATCTAAAAGCAGCTTGACTATTTTGGATATTTAAAGAGACAGTGCTCTCGCAGATTCCCAGGGCTTAAGAACACGTTATGCTTTCCAGCAACCCCAAGGACCCTCCGGACCTGCAAGGCT